CGCCGTCGCTCCGCGGCCGCCCCCGCGCGCGGGGACAGGTGCCCGGGCCGGGGTCTGTCGGGAAGATGGCGACCCCGGGGATGAGCTGGCAGCAGCACTATTACGGCGGCTCGGCGGCCGGGGCGGCCAAATTCGCGCCCTCACCGGCCGCTGCGCAGCAGGCGGGGCACAACCTGGACTACAGCCAGGACCTGCACCTGAAAATGAGCAAGAAAATCGCCCAGCTCACCAAGGTGAGGGCGCGGCCGGGGGGTCCCTGCGTGCGGGCTCCCCGGGGTCACCTGCCCGGCGGGGAGCCTGTGCGCCCTGCGCCTGGGGCGAGTTGCAGGGGGCTGCTCTGGGGAAGCAACAGCCCGAGACTTACCTCGAAGAACCTTTCAAACTTCGGGGAACGCTGGCTAGGTTAATTTCAGCTAGACAGCTCCACAGCACGGCTGGGGTTATGGGACTTGCACCCTGCTGACCCTTAGGGGTAAGCCTGCATAGAACAAATTTAAGGATCTACTTTCTTTATTGCACAATAAATAAATCCCTTTAGTTTTGCTCTCCTGCGCGTGCCAAGGCTCCACGAGGCATTACACTCCGGTACGGTATGAAGTACAGTACCGTATTTACCCAACGTGACCCGGAATCTTCGGAATTCATCAGTATCATTTATTGACTATGTAGTTAAGGGGAGAAGAAATCTTCTGAGCAGTGTAGGAGGGTAAAACATACCTGGCGTGCCATTTTGGGGATTTAATGAGTCATTCCTTATCCTGACAAAATATCAAACAAGGCTTATTAGATGAATCATGTGCCTGTGTTTAGTTGTGTTTCAGTCTATCAAAAGATAATTTTCAAAGTGCGAATAGTCTGCAAATTTGGCCAACTGTAGTTTAGGATGGTACTTGCGTGGTGAGCTTTTTTCTAGTTTGGGAAATGTTGATAATGAGAAAGAGTTGGTGTCTCTGTGAAGCAAGAGCAATTCAGATGGATTATACTGCTCTGGTTAGATCTCAAGAGCAATCTTTCAATACTCATTAAGTGAGAAGAAGCGATTTGTGGTTTCTGAAAGTGAGTAGAGGTGATAGACCTTAATGTGTTTAAGCTGAGTGGGCTAACCACTTGTTAGTGTTGGTGGCTGAAGAGAGGTAGGTGTTGTGGGGGTTTACTACCAGATAACCTCTGAAGTCTGACTCTTTCAGCTCCAAAATTCCGGTTATATGATTTCATTACTAGTTGGCACTGTTGAGAGAGTAAAGTAAGACAGTTGGAAGAGGAAAAGAAGGAAATGGGAGTGAAAAGGATGAAAAGAGGGTAAAAAGATTTTGGCGAAGAAATGTGATTGAGGATAGCAAGAAAAATAATATGAAAGGACCAAAGAATGAGGGGGCAAATGCAAGAATGGAGGAGAAGGTGTGAGTGCATTGACCGTAAACCTCAGCTGTGCCAGGCGAGGCAGCATCTCCTGAAGTTCTGTTTTTGTTTTATGTCGGCGGTGATTTGGAGGTTGCTATGGGTCTAGTTTTTACTGTTTCCTCTTGTGGCAGAGGGTCCCCAAATTCAGAGAATACAAGGTCTAAGAAGGAACACAGTAGTATGCCATCAGAGCGTTTATACATTGGGAGCTAGAAGCCAGGCTTGCTGAAATCGTGTTTGTTCTTCAGAATGCTGATGTCCAGAATGAAGCCTGTTAGTATTTATTTATTCTGATTTTCTTTTATGGTCTGTCCACAACATCCATTGTTCTTATTTTAGATTGTAACCTTCTGGAGCCTTGCTCTAAGTAATAGAAACACTCAGTAAGTTGGTAGTGGAACTGTGTACAGTTTAATAAAAGAAATTTCTCATCTCTTCAGTAAACTACTTTTCCTTTTCCTTTTCCTTTTTCAATTTTCTGTTCTTGTATCAGAAAAAAAAAAAAATCCAGCATAGCTGTTCTGGGTGGGAGTACTGAGTAGGAGGGGCTATTGTTTTCTGTCTTTACTCCCACCTCAAATCTACTGAGGCGGGAGGCTGCCTCCACCCTGAGCTCCCATTGCGGCTTCAGTGCTACACCTCCTCTTTCCTGAGTGTTACTTGGACTCATTGATTTAGTGTTTATAGTTACAATCTCTTAGCACTCGTGCCATCCCCTCGGCCAAGTGCCTCAGACATTTAATCCCTATACTAGGGTTTCTCAACCTTGGCACTGTTGACATTTTGGACTGGATAATTCCTTGTTGGGAATGGGGCGGGGGCGGGGGGCTGTTCTGTGCATTACAGGATGTTTAGCAGCATCCCTGGTGCTACTTGTTAGGTTCCAGTAGCAACCCACCACACACACACGGTTGTGACAATGAACATGTCTCCAGACATTGCCTAATATTCCGTGGGTTGGGGTGGGGGGATCATCCCAGGTTGAGAACCACTGACTTTATACTGAAATATCTAGGGTTTCTCCCACCCCGGTCTCTTTCCTTTATTGCTAAGATAAGGCCTGAGAATGAAACAGTCTGATAATAGGACTCTGTTGCAGCCAAAACCCTTCAGTTTCTGAAACTTACAATAAGACCTGCTTCCCTTATGTACCATTTTGGAAAGTGTCAAATTTTGTAGTCACATCCGCTTATTGTAAATACCATACGGTAAGAATGACGTCGTGAGTAATATATTGACTGTTAGACGGAAACTTTACTGGTATCTGCTATTAGAATGTTCACTTATGAAGAGTTTATTAATAAATTCATATCAGCGGAGGTATGTTAATAGAACTATGGTGGGGACTTGACAAGAGGTTATATTTGAAAATTAGACATTATAAAGATAACCGTTAAAATAGCATTTTATTTCTTTTGGAATGAGTCAGTGGAACTTAACTCTTCGGCATTATAGTTAGTGTGGCGTGGGAATCGGACATACTGTCTTGAGTTAAAACTCCGGCTCTATCACTTACTGGCCCTATGACCTTGAGCAAGTTAACCTCTGAGTCTCAGATTCTTAATCTTTAAAATAGGGATGATGACACTGTAACTCTCTAAGATAGTAGGCTCCTAATTCAGGCTGTCACTGAAAAGAGATGTTATATGCCAACAAACAAAGTATTAGTAAAATACTAGATAATATATTTTTTAAATGATCCTCTCTTTTTAAAATAAACCATTCTGTATTTAATAGCATTATGTGATATTGGATTTCTCTTGAGGGTTTTCTGCTAAACTCTTTCAAGATGTATGTAGTGCTTCTTCTTCTTTTGAATGTCAGAGTTTAAAGTTTCACATTTGTTCTGCATTGTAGTAGTATATTGAAAATACAGTATGCGTAAAGATGAAAATAATCTATATTATAATTTTGCACATAGTAAGACTCTATATATTTTTAACTCAGTAAATAGTCTCCGCTGTGGACGTATTTGTTCAGATTCTGTTTCCTGAGAACCTGCCATAGCAGCCATCTCATGGGAAGAACAGCAGTTCTTAAGCATCTTGTATGTAAGGTGAGGGGCCCTTTGCTAAGGGTTAGCCATACAGCAGGGAGCAAGACAGAGCCTCTGCCTTTTAAAGTTAGTATTATATTTAGGTTGCTCATGTCAAATTTTAAGAATTACTTGATTCTTAATTCAGTAAGATTCTTGAGTCATGTTGTGGCAAATTTCTGGAATTATTAATGACTGAACCATCTCAGGATAGGTAGAGAAGCTGGGTGTGTTGAGTTACGTGTTATACGACCACTTTTGTGTCCTTCTCTACTCTTCACTGTGTTGACTCTTGAGTGCATTTGGTCGAAAAGCAGGACTTGTGGGATATAATTATAAAACAGCTTAATTTTTCTCTCACCGTCTTTTTCGGTTTACCCTGTGAGACTGGCTCCTCCCCTGCCCTGGATAAAACTTGACTTTTCGGGTTGCTTTTTGCTAATGCAAGTTGTCCTTCAGTAACTAAGTCGCAAAAATCAACTTGATGATTAAAATGTCCAGTACCAAAAGATAAAAACTCCAAACCAAACTTGAGTTAAAGATGAAGCTTCTCTCCCGTGCCCTCTCCCTCGCTCTGCCTGTTGCACGGGGTGGGGAGCCTGAATCGGGGAAGGGGGCATCCTTGACTGTTTTCTTCTGACTTGGCTTTTCTGCTTCTGCTTTGTCTTGCCCATCCTGGTTTCAGACCCCAGCCAAGCTGGACAAGGAAGAGGGGAAGACAGGAACGATGAGCTGCAGACTTTATTTGATTAGCGCGTGGTGATCTAGCTTCAGTGCTGATGTCTACTTGGCAGATGTTTCAAGCTCGTTCTTTCACTTGTGGATCCTCCACCTTCCACCTCAGCTCAAGCTGCTTGACCATCAGAATGCATCTCTGTTCTGGCTGGTTGCCTGCTCCTTCCTCAGCCTCTGGGATCTGGCAGGACCTTCATGTCCTTTTGCTGAGTGAGGTCTGTTCAAGCTCCAGGTAACCCTCTCGGATGGACCCAGGTGACCCACGCCAGCTTTGTCTCTGTCCCATAGGACCCTTCTTGGTCCATAGGGAACACTCATTCTTTTTCCAGACAGACTCTGGAAATGGTCCCAATTCAGCCATCTCTCTTTTGCTCTCATATGCCTCTTCGTCCATCCTTTAGATTTTCCAGGGATGAATCAGTTGCCAGTTCACTACGTTCTAAAGTGCTTAAGACACGTATCAAGCTCTTCAGGTTGTCCCATCAAAGCCTTTTCCGCTGGGCTTCAGGTGAGGGTCAAACATCCACCTCCACCTTCCCCCTTGAAGGCAAGGGCACTTGTTCCTGTAGCTCTTTCCAAGGAAACCTCCTCCAAACTCCCCTCTGTAACCCTCTTTGAGGCTTCTCTCACTAGTGTTGGGGATAGGAGGTAATATACCTCAACATTCCTCTCTGTAGACTGCCTCTTCTGGAAATTTTGAGAATATTCTGGCACCTTCTTTGGAATGTCGATTGTCTTTGGTTCTCGATAGAAACTTCCCTTTGAATATCCTGTTATATTGGCTGCTCATCCATTGCTTCCTTAGTTGATTGCACTTTTGATACAGTTCAGTCCCATTATTACTTACAGACATAACTAGTATAAGGTAGGGTATAATGTTCCAAAGAGCAGGAATAGTTTCTCCCTGTTCTCTGTGCTTAACATCAAGTCCTTAAACGTCTTCTTTCAATACCCAGCTTATGTCCCTCCTCCCGAAAACTGCCCTGACCAACCTAGGCCTTACTAGGTTTGCCTTACTTTGATTTACTATAACATTTATTGTCTGTACTTCTTATTTGATAC